AAGTACTTTAAACTGTATAAATAAGTTACCCGGCAATTGATTTACATCAGCCAATCAGACGAATGTCTGTCTATGAACCCTTTGGGGTTTCAAGTGCCTTAGCAATTTTTTCTACTGTCCAAGAGTCAGTATTGAAAAGTATATCAATAGGTGTAATAGTTTTGAGGTATATGTCATCCGCCCATGCCATTTCGTCTTCTGAAGCCCCTGTTTTGAGTAACTTGAGATTTGTTTGAATAACTTGACTGTATATGGGTCTTGTACCAGTAGACTTAGTATTAGCTTGTACTCTAGAAGGTGTGGCAGTATTATCGAGTAAACCTTTAGTAGCTTTGTTTGAATTTATTACAAGTAGAGAAATGTTGGATAGGTCTCTAGTTCTTTTGCAACTAGTAGTAGATGCAAAAAATACTAGCTGAGTAATTTGATTGATTGGTATACTAGGCCTGGGTAAAGTTGTTGTAGTGGTGTTATTGGTACTAGGACTTGTAATTGTGTTGGTATTAGGAGGTTTATTTGTTGCTAACACAGGGTTGGTAGTGTTGTTGCTTGTACTAGTATTGGTATAACTTGTGTTCAGGTCTTGAAAGAGACTAAGATTGGTAGAGGAATCTGTATGTACGACTTGTTTATTGTTGCTTCTATTGGATTCATTGTCTGAGTCCAGGCTTGTAATAATATTGTATGAGATTGAGGCTTAGTTGTTTGTACCTTTAGCTTTCAAATATAGTTTCATATTGGCTTCATATAGATCTAAGATTGTTGCGAGGTCACTATTTAGAGTGGTTTTGGGTATTTGGTGCTAATGTTGACAATGTTGCTTTTCTGTGATGTGAAGTCAAACAAGACTGATTGGGTAGGATCTTTATGTCTACATACCCATTGTGATGGGTAGTTAATCAAGTTGGGGATCTTTTTTGATTTGGTAATATCGACAAAGAAGACAAAGTTGTTAGTATATTTGGAAACAGAGAAGCTAACAGAAAAAATGAGTTTGGACCAGTTTTTGATAGTAATGTTTAAAAATTTTTTGTGTGTTTTACACTAAAATCTAATGGTAAGCTAATAATAGGGGTGTCTTCAGGTTGTATAGGCTTTGGGGTTCAGAAAAAAATTCAAAGTAAGAAGTGATGCTTCTAGAAGCCATATTTTTATTGAAGTCTTGGGGCATAATAAGGTGTGGTACTTGTTGCTGTTGGTTATTTTTGCCAAGATCACTACTTATAGTTTGTTTTAGTTTATCTGAAAATTGGGGTCTTTAGGACTGCTTTCGCGAGAGAATTGAAAAACTGCTTTGTTGCTATTTTGGGTGTTTATTGTTACTAACTTGTTGTGATAGAGTTTTTTAACAAAATTTACACCTTTTTTAGGTAGTTCTTGGGGTGCTGGATAACTTTACTTAAGAGCTAAATATCAATTTACTTAGTAAGTTTTCGAGAAAATATCATGAAAAAGTTTTTTCTTCTTGTTTCTATTTTGGTAAAGTGATCTATGGAAAAAGTTATACCTCAAAATTTGCTATTTAATTTCTTCGATAATATAAATTTATATTAGTCTATATATACGTATATTTGATTTTTATAATTGATTTGTGGTTACATGATGCTAACTAGTTAAACTAGTTAATTAAAATTTTAAATGACGAGATAATAAAACTAACAAACTGATGAAACTGGAAACTTAAAGAAGATATGAATAGAAAATAAACTAAATAAAACAGAATTTATAAAAATTACAAGATTTAAGAAGAGTTACCTAGTAATTATCACAATATACCACCATTGAACTATCTAACTCCAATGGATACTAATAAACACTCCAATAAGTAATAAATACAATATATTTATGCAA